CTGCCTTGTGATTGGTCTATTCTACACACCTTGCAGGGACTGGTTGATTTACTATTCAAATAGTGGCTTGAAAAATCCATTCAAAATATTGCATGACTTGTAGTTCACCTAGTGGATTGCTTGTTTTGTGGTCCTGCTGAGGGTTATGCTTTGAAATTGACAAGAAGTCTGCTTATACAAGCTGGTAGACCCCCCAGAGGTTTAGAGAACTAAGGAAGGGAGGGAACCTCAAGACCAAGAAAAGCCTAGAGTGGAGTGGTTTGGATCCAAGGTTCCTGTGACTGGAGCCTCTTAAAAGAGCTGTAATATGGATCAAGGGCTGTAATACCAAAGACAGTGGGAAGCTTGGAAGGGATCTGGTGGCAGAAGAACCTGGAAGTGGCCTAACAACAGAGCAGCCTGGTAAGAGCCTAGTGGCAAAGTATCCTAGAAGGGGTTCAGTGGTAGAGCTGGAGGGCTGATAGGGCCTACATGGCTGAGCAAGCTGTTATACTGGCTGTGAGCTGGGCCAGTTAGCACCAGAGAGACTGATGGTGTGGAGGCTGAAGGCAGAAAGGGATATGCAGGGCATGTAAAACAGAGGGGGCTGGGAGAGGACCTGCTTGCATGGCCAGGAGGCAGTCTACTTGCACAGCTGAGAGGGGGTGTGCGTGGTAGAGAGGAGGCCCACTAGCCTGGCTGAGGGGCCTGCTAGCACTTCAGAGAGTGGCTGAGAGAGCTATCCTGCCTGGAAACTGTCCTGCACTGGAGAAGGGAGGGATGTGTTCTCCAACTCAGAGGAGCCTTCCAAACTTTGCTGATGTGCTTCCTGATCTGATCCTGGGTTACTCCTGCTACTTTCAAGTTGATCCTGATCTTGAGCTGTAGCCTGTCACATCCTTAATAAACCATGTAATTGTGAGTCTGGTCTGCAAGTTTGGTGTGGCCATTGCAATGAATTATCAAACCTAGCAGAGAAGTGGGAGCTCTGGTAGCATAGTGGCTAAGACACTTGCCTGCTAACCAGATGGCTGACGGTTCAAACCCACCATCCACTCCTCGGAAGGAAGGTTGGGCAATCCTACTTCCGTAGTGATACTGCCTCGGAAACCCAAGGAGGGGTTGCTATGAGTCGGGTTTGACTCGACAGCACATAACAACAACAACAACAATTGTGAGAGCCATTTCCCTGAAATAAATCTCTCTCTCCCTCTCTCTATACACTTCACTAGT